ATAAGATACTGATTGTAGCGGTTAATGGGCAGCCGGTAGTGATGATGGCGGTAGTAGTAGCCGTCGTACTTGTATTTCTGCTGATTGTCATGGGGAATCTCGAAGGAGGAAAAAAACTACTACATACCCGAATGACTAGACGTACTTTGGAAATTAGTTGAGGTATAATAAATGTGATTTGAATAGTCAAAGAAATTGTTGTTGAAGCTGAAGTGTAATGTAACGGAGGAAATTAGTGAAACTTTGCTTGCTATTACGTAGATGGAAAGCAAATAGAGCTGGGGAAGAAAGGGCTGCAAGATGAAGATGATTGTATTGTATGTCGTTGATATGTAGTTGCATTAAATGGTTTATGGCCTTTCTTAGTCTGTTTAGCTGACGGAGTGATCATCGCAAATGAGAATTAAGGGGGAAAAAAAGCCAAAGGACACAAATTATACATTTACCTTTGAAGAACTACTTTTTTTTTACTTTTTCTACTTCTTCAAATTTTTTTGCTCTATAATTGTTTTCTAATACATTTTTCTCCATCTATCAAAACTACTTTTTTGCTAAGAAAATGAAAAAAAAAAAATTAAAAAAAAAGCAAAAATTGAAAATTAGAAAAAAAAAATGTGTGTACCCCTAAAGGCTTGTTAATTATTTAGCAATTTTTTCATTCTCATTTTCCTGTCTTTCTCTTTTACATGTCTCTTTCTATTTTCCTTTTTATACTTCTTCCGCAATTCAGTTTATTTGAGTAAGCTGATGATTGAGTTGCTATTATTGTTGTCATTGCTCTTGTTTAGCTTGCTGCCACTCGTGATGCTGATGCAAATGGTGCTGTTGTTGTCGTCGTTATGGTTGTTGTTGTTGTTGTTGTCGGTGTAAAAAATGAGGTAGAAAATTAAAGAAAGAAAAATTCTTTTTTATTTAGCGACAAAAAAATTGGTATTTTCATAGTCCATTTAACAGCGAAAGTCAAGAAAGTCTTCATCGAAAAGAAGCACTTATGACGACGGTAACGACAACAGCAACAGCGACGGGCACTGGCGACTGATTCAAACTATTCCGTCCTCCTGCCTAAACCTTTACATTCATTCCACAAAAAAAAGAGAAGAAAAAAGCTAGAAAAACAAAAAAAGCGTTCAAATTGATGAAGACTAAAGTCGATTTAGTGGTAAGAAGGAAAAGCGTTTTTTTGCATATTTTAATTGTGACAGAAGACAATTTTTGGTAATATCTCTAAAGGATTAAAGCTTTTTTTTTTTTTTTTT